ATGCTGGACTGAAATCAAGGATTTAAAATTTGAGTCCATTTCCAGTATTGATAGTTATCTTGCTCATGCTTTTTTATCAACACTTTGCAAAGTACAATTCCTTCATATCCACATCGTATCCCCCACATCGTGGAAATGGCTTTTGGCACTTAAGTCACTTAGTGAACTAAAAGTATTTCACATCACTGCCAACAATTGTCACTCAAGCCATGATCTGTTTTGTTATGACTGTAAGTGGGAAGGTGTTATATGCAAGTCTACAAAACCAGGATTAAAATGTGTTGTCGTGCAGTTAGAAATTGAAAATGCAAATGATTTTCTATTTTGGTTAACACAGTATGAAGAAATAAAAATTGTTTCCCAATATAGTATTAGCAGCGATCTTGTGCATAAGTTTTTCCGGGGACTTGTAAAACTTAAATTTCTTCATGTCAGTGTTAAATCTTGCGAATGGCTTCCGGCACTGAAGGATCTCTGTGAACTAAAAGGATTTTACATCACAGACAGGTTTAATCACCAATTATTCTCTCACATGCAAGGTATTGCTGCTGTGCTTGATATTGAATTACAGTCAAACAGCATGCAGTACAACTCAATGTTTGCAGGTGTTGATGCGCTTTTGAAAGTTGTTTTGAGGTTAAATCAAGTAACTACAGTGAAGTTGTCTAGCATAGACCGTGAGACTATGGCTGGTGTCCGTAGCGTCTTACTACACTGTCCCAGTCTTACCACACTGGAGCTGAAGAGAACCAGACTTGGCTATGATGGAGTCCTCTACATATGTAGTGCACTGAGAAAGAACACAACATTAAAACAACTTGTAATTCATGATCTTCAGTTGCCACCATTCCGGGAGAAAAGAGAGTTCGGTGATTTGAAACTTATCTCTTTTTCATTGATGGAAATAATTCCTCTGCCAAATAAGACAACATGCTCTGACTTCCTTCTGGAACTAAACAACATTCTCAAGGACAACACTACTCTGGAAGAGATGAACATCCAGTCTGGATTATTCCTCCCTCTCTCTTCTGGTGAAGACGCGGAGTTTTGTCAGTGGACAGGACTTGGACCTCTTCAACAGTTCAATGTGGGGGCTATCAGTAGTGGCATGTCTCCTAATCTCAGGAGATCATTCTCATCTTCAGACCTCACTCAGCCACAGACTCAACTGTTCTGGGACAGAAAATTTATCACATCTCTCGTTCTAGTAAGACGAAGGGAACCCATAGATTTCGAGAAACTATTTTTTAACAGGAAGGAAATATTATTCTCTCTTCCTTCATTCACTGCTCCAGACACTGAAGTCCTACAGTCATTCTCTGGTCTGGACCCTCGTCTCAAGGAGTGTCTGGGGATATCTGGATACTTCCAGAAAAGTTTCATGCGCAACTTCAGGAATTTGCTGGGAGAGGTTGCATTTTGCGTGCGTTTCAACATGCAGTTCTGAAGCACATAGTAAAATTAAGGCAAAAATTATAGACTGTAGTTACACCATTCTTGCATAAAGGTCCCCCCAGTTTGGCAAAGAATACAAAGAGGATGAGGAAAAAGACTGTCAGAGAACAAAAAGAATAGTGAAATAAATATTATGAATGTTATGAGACAGAAATGGATATAAATCGAAAGTGTGGCTACCAGTTGAGTTGTCAAGACTGTGCTGTATATTTAGTATCGTTTCACTACAAACTTTGAGCAAAACAAGGTGCAACAAAAAATCACACTTGCTCGGTAGCCCTACATAAAGGCGAGTAAGACTAAGCAACCCTGTGCGCAGTGTTTTGAATGGTGCGATATGCCAGGATATGTAGCTAATGGAATTATTCCTTAATCGACAGGAGATAACTCTAATCGCCTAAAATTACAGGGTCATACTGTCCCCAGTCAGCAGAATAAAACATAGAGGTTCGTACAATATTCATAGTATCTTCTGAACTATATTTATTCACTTTATGCCGATCCCCACCCGAAATACTGTTCATGCACAAAGGATAAACCACCTAGCGCTATCGGCGCGCAGAGCACGGCTAGTGGCTCTGCGACTAAGATTGTATAGATGTATCTTCTGAGAGATGAACCAATGCTAGCAGAATATACAATAGCCCTGCACTATTTCTAGATGAGGTAACAGCCAGCTTGTTCAGCTCTCTGCCACTGGTGTTCTGCTTGCTTATGGCATTGTAGCAGAGCATAAACATTCACACTCATTGTTATCAAAATCCATGTCAGTTGGTCATGTCATGGTTCTGTTGTATAACCACTAGCTCTCACCCATCATCCTATTTAAGCTCAGTGTATAACTGCGAAAGATATAATACTTTCTGATCCGTACTACACTGGTAGCAGAGGATGGTTGACCGCCACGTCTCCTTGCCGAAGCCCTTCGCCAGCGGAGACGCAACCGAGTGGTTCAAGCGGTTCGACATCTGCAGTACGGCGAACAACTGGAACAATGCTACGAAGGCTCTCAAACTGCCGACTCTACTCGAGGGAGAAGCCCTCGCTATTTGGCTGGAGTTAGGAGAACATGAGCGAAGTGATTATGGGACAGCCCGCTCCAGGATTCTCGAGGCTATGACGCCTATGGGGTTCATCTCCATCGACGCCTTCCACAGCCGCAAGCTGCGCCCCGGGGAAGCTCTATCCGTCTTTGTGCACGAGCTCAAGAAGTTGTTGGACCTAGCCATGCCAGACCTCGACGACGCCGCACGCGATCGGCTGTCGTTGCATCAATTTCTTGGAGGAATCCCCACCGCTGTAAGCCGTCAGTTGCGAGCCACAGGAGAAACGAAAACCCTCGCGGTCACCGTGGAGCGAGCCCGTCTACTCCTGGCACTTGACGACGCGAACCAGACAGCCGCCGTTTCACACACGACCAGCAGCTAGCTCAAAGGACTGCAGGACCAAGTGGCTGTGACCAGACGGGACATCTACTCCGTGACTGTCCGTGTCGACAGGGTGTCGGCACCGAACCGCGAAGGTGCTTCGCATGCGGACGGCTAGGTCACTTCGCACAAGACTGCCGTTCGGGAAACGGCCGAGGGGCGCCCGGGGAGGGCAACGAGCGCCCCGCACGTCAATGAAGCCCGGCGTCGTGGTGGTGGCCGTGGTCAGGAATAAAGCGGCCACCACCAGGGGGATCATCGGTGGTGTGGAAGCGGAGGTGATGTTGGACTCCGGATCGTCTGTGTCGTTAGTTCGGCAAGAAGTGCTGTCGCAAGCACCCAAGATGCCGTCAGTCGCCAGCGCTGAACCAATACAGTTACGGCGTCGGGAGATCCTTTAAGAATACTGGATCGTGTCCGAGCACCGGCGAAGATCGGAGACCTGGAGCTCATCCACGAGTTCGTGGTGGTTGAAAACCTTGTGAGTCCAGTCATTGAGGTTGACAGGGTTGACTTTTTGCACAATAACGAACTTGTTTTAGACTTTTCCAGCCTACCTGTTACAAGTGACTCTGTACAAGTCGTTCCCCATTGTACAACTGTACCAGAATGCATTTTTTCAGAAGAAAGAATTAAGATATGTGCATGAAGTTGCAGCTGTGGAACCTCCCAGTGCTGATGTAATTGAAGACTGTGCAGTTACGGACTTCCGTGCCTGCTCGTCATTTGATTACCCCGTGTGTGCATGCAACGACCTTATAGATGTCATACATACCCACCGGTCCTTGTTCAGGGACAGTACCAGGAGGAACGGAAGTTGCCTGCCACTACATTACAACGACAGGGACCCCTGTTAGGGTGCCCCCGCGGCGCATCCCAGCACATTATCGGCAGGAAATTGAAGAACAAATCAACACAATGCTGGAACAAGGAATCATAGAAGAGAGCAGCAGCCCCTGGATGGCACCTGCTGTGTTTGTGCCAAAGAAATCAGGCGAAATTCAGATGTGTATTGACTATCGTGAATTGAACAAAAAAGATGCTTACCCCTTGCCTCTACCAGATGAAGTCCAAGATCGTCTTGCGGGTTCAACTATATTTTCCACACTTGACCTTCAAAGTGGCTACTGGCAGTTACCAGTGAATAAGTCTGACCGAGAGAAAACAGCATTTTGCCCAGGTCCCGGAATGGGCCTTATCAGTTCTGCAGAATGCCATTTGGGCTCACTGGGGCGCCAAGTTCCTTTCAGCGTCTAATGGATACAGTGCTCAGAGGATTACCCTTCATTCTGATATACCTTGATGACATACATTCATGGACACCCCAACTTCACAAGGAGCATTTACGAATTGTGTTCGAGCGCCTCTCAACTGCCGGCTTGACTCTGAGGGGAAAGAATGTCACATTGGACTGCCAAAGGTCTCGTACTTGGGCCATGTGTTTTGTCGGGTGAGGGGATGGAGCCAGAGACCAAAAAAGTTGAAGCCATCACTTCTTGGCCAATACCAACCGATCTATCAAATGTTAGGAAGTTTCTTGGCCTGGCATCATACTATCGCCGGTACATCCCCAGGTTTTCGGATATTTCTGTACCTCTCAGTGCACTTACAAGGAAGGGAGCCCCGTTCAATTGGACTCCAGAATGCACCAAGGCATTCAATACGCTGAGGACAAAACTAGGTGAGGGCCCCGTTTTAACATACCCAAAATTCGCAGAGAGTGCAGCACAATTCACTGTCTTCAAGGATGCCAGTCACATTGGACTTGGAGCTATATATCCTCGAGCAGGACGGACATGTAATACCTTACGCCAGTCGAAGTTTGAAGCCTGCTGAGAGAAACTACAGTGTCATCCAAAATGTCTAGCAGTTGTTTATGCACTCAAACAATTTCGCCACTACTTGCTGGGACGTCACTTCAAAGTATTCAGTGACCATGCCCCTCTGCAATGGCTCTCTGCACAAAAGATGGAAGGCCTGTTATGCCGTTGGGCCCTGGCCATTCAAGAGTATGATTTTGTTATCTGTTACAAAAAAGGGAATGACAACAGCAACGCAGATGCACTTTCACGGTGCCCATGTGCAACTACCGTCATCTCCCAGCAGAAATCTCTTGCAAACATTGGGCCTGCACAACGAGCAGACAAAACCATTTCTACCCTGCTAGTGGCCTTACGGAAGACGAATAAACGTCCAAGCGGCAGGTTGTGGAGCAAGTATCCCTTGAAGCGTTACAAACAGCTAAAGATGGAAGGCCTGTTATGCCGTTGGGCCCTGGCCATTCAAGAGTATGATTTTGCTATCTGTTACAAAAAAGGGAATGACAACAGCAACACAGATGCTCCTTCACGGTGCCCATGTGCAACTACCGTCATCTCGCAGCAGAAATGTCTTGCAAACATTGGGCCTGCACAACGAGCAGACAAAACCATTTCTACCCTGCTAGTGGCCTTACGGAAGACGAATAAACGTCCAAGTGGCAGGTTGTGGAGCAAGTATCCCTTGAAGCGTTACAAACAGCTATGGAGCCAGCTCAGAGTTCAAAATGGCGTTCTGTGCCGGAAGTATGTACCTGGGTCCTTGCAAGAGTAAGTTACGGTCCCAATCTTACCACCATGCTTACGCCAGGAAGCCCTCCGGCAATACCACAACCTCCCCACAGCAGGGCACCAGGGAATTGAAAAGACCCTGGAACGACTCCGAAGAGAAGCGTACTGGGTCGGTATCGCAACGGAAGTACGGAAATTTTGTCGAAACTGTCAGACATGCCAAGCCTCAAAACTTGCATCTCCCCCGAAAGCTCCACTAACAAACACCCCAATCGGAAGACCCTGGCAGATGATAGCAGCAGACATTCTGGAGGTACCTGTCTCAACCAACAATAATCGTTACTGCAAGACTACTTCACAAAGTGGGTCGAAGCCATACCACTGCCAGACCAGACCGCACCTCGCATCACAGGGGAGCTTGTTAAGTTTTTTACTACATATGGATGCCCAGATATCCTCCATTCTGATCAAGGACGAAACTTTGAGAGTACAATTCTACGGAGCACACTGAAAGAGCTGGGCATCCTAAAATCTCGAACAACTGCTTACCACCCCCAAGGAGATGGGATGGTAGAACAGTTCAACAGATCGCTTCTACAGCTGCTACGAAGCTACGTTGAACACCAAAGTCATTGGGAACGTTTTCTACCGCTAGTCTTGTTCGCATACCGAACGGCAACTCACAGTTCAACTGGCTGTTCCCCATTGAATTTGATGTTTGGACGCTCTCCATCTGCACCGAACTTCCCTCCCTCCACTGCGTTCAACACAGTGACCTACACAGACAGCTTGCAGTGCAAACTCTCAGAGTTACGAGATCTAGTTGAGTGCCACCTAACAATTGCGGCAGAACACCAAAAATCTAACTATGATGATAACACCATTACCCGGATTTTTCGTGAGGGAGACACTGTCTGGTTGTCTCGTCCAACAACTGGGAAGCTAGATCCGCACTGGGAAGGAGGATGGAAGGTCAAACAAGTGATGAGTCCACTGACAGTGGAAGTCACGAAGGGCCAGATAAATAGATATGTTCACATAAATCGGCTCCATCACCGCATACAGCCAGACGTGGAATCTCCAGTACAGAACAGACCCGTCTCCAACCTGGCAAGCCCCCTACAGTAGATCACTGGTTCTACCACCTGCACCACGAAGGTACCCTTAC